AAGCCCGAGGCAGAGTTGCTCTGCCCCAGGCTTCCTGGAATCAGCCACTGATCAATTTCAGCAGCAGCTGACTTGGGGACGCCTGGGTTTCTTAAGTTGAATCTGTATGTAAGTCAGAACTGGCGTCCAGATTCAGCCGTGGTTGAAACTGATCAGTTTCAGCAGCGGCTGACGCCAGTTCCGACTTACATACAGATTCAACTTAAGAACAAACCTACAGTCCCTATCTTGTATGTAACCCGGGGACTGCCTGTACTATTTTTCCATAGAAATATATAATCATGCTAACATTCCTCATGTTGCTATTTCTGTTGTATCCTCTATTGCTGCGGCCGTCTCACCATCTCTACTGGTGAGACAAGGCAGTATGATGAGATTTCCATTACAGAGTGAGCTGGCAGAAGGAAGCAGTTTCAGTATTACAAGCACAACATTAAGATTTCATTTAAGAACTGGCAATACAAGACAGACAATACCCAAAGGATACTTCCCCCCCCCCCAAATCCTGCACTGTGCAGCAGATTTTCTGTGGACTCTGTAGGGTTTGGGCCAACTATGGCACAGGAATAGCCCTCCTCTCTGAGCCTCCACATCCCAGCACCTTCTTCCCACAAAGAAGCAAGTGATTTTTTTCTTCAATTGCCCATAAAGACAGTGTTTGAATTTTAGTGTTTATTTACCCGAACATTTGTAAGAAGATGCTTCCCCACAAGCTAACAATGGACAATATTTGCTGCATAACCTCAGACTTCAGGATTTAAAAAAAAAATACAGAAACTCTATGAAAAGAAACTTTTTATGGCCCAAACCCAGATATGCAGCATACTGCAGCTAAGTATGCAAGTTTACAATATACAGAGCCTCATGGAAAACAACAGTATATTTCACATTGTTTAACTCTACCACAATTTAGGGAAAGCCAGCTGGAATTATCCATTATTATAGATGAAAAGTAGAATTTTTTTATCCCCTCATAAAACAAATCTTTGATAATGACTGAAACATGCATAGTTTATTATAGACTCAATTTTGCCACTGTTATCGGTTTTGAAAATTAAAACAAATTATTGGTTTGTGGCTACATAAATCTATACCAGTCCCTACCGTGGAGTTAGGCTAATTCATACTCTGGTTAATGTTAGAGGCAAATTATCTCTACACTAATGATGCCATTAGGAAGCAATATGTTGGATTGCACTCCCCTTCCATTTCTCCTCCTCCTCCTCCCTTCACATTACAGAAATTACTGTTGTAAACACTCCCCAAAGCCAACTTTAGTTAATGACCATCTGCGACAACATTAAAATGGATGCAAGGAAGATGCTCTGTTGAACAAAAGAAATCAAATATCTGCTCTACAAAATAAACATTGCAGCTTTCTGAGCTCAGGAAAAAAAGAATCCTTAAAGATAGAATTATAATGCTAGAATGAATAAAGAGAACAAAAAGGGACTCACTTGCATTGCTAGTTCAGATAACATACACCAAAGGAGGCAATGACCATGGCCAAACCAGGCTTTATCATTTGTTAATACTGTGCAATGTCAGGTATCTTATCGAAGACCATACATAATTGCCTTCATTAATGTTGTCATCTGGACACCATATTAAAGGGCCAGATTCATCATAAGGTTAACTACAGGATTTTCATTTTTGAATTTTAAAGAGTAAATGCCAAATGTATCTCTTATTTAATTGACTTAAATGTTAGGGCCACAATGTTCTAGCTTGCACAATTTCTCAAAGGAATAAAAGGGTACAAGGTGTGTTCTTACCATACAACAGCTACTCACAAAATGGTTATACTGCCATAAAAGCAAAGTAGGCTCTACAGAGCTGCTCAGACACCTTCTATGCAGCTAGACAGGAGGAACAGTGAGCCCGCAGCTCTCGTACATTTCCAAGGGACAGGTGCAGCAGCAGGGACGCCTCTGCCTCCCGCAGCTTTTAAGCCAGCTCCCCCCAACACCGGCTCCTGCTTCCCTTCCTTGCAATCTCTCTCTGATAGAAGCAGCACAGGATCGGGGGAAAAGGGAAGCTTATACTTACGGGATACTTAACTAGTCACTTACAGTGCTATCTCTACCACAGTTGTAAGTGTACGTTTTCCCCTAGGTGTGCATAATCCACATCACTGAAAAAAGTTGTTAAGCTGACCTCCGTGCACACTGCTCTAGACACAAAGGAGATGGATTACTTGTGCTAATGAGGAAGCATTGGCAAACACAGCTATGCCAGCATAATTTCCAAATACAGACTAGCCCAAACCTACAGTACTTCTACATTAGTAAAAAATAATTTATGAGATACATAGATGAACATATTTTGCTGGGGATGAGTCATGATTGTCGTAAAAGGAAATCATGCCTCAACCTATTCGAATTCCTTGAGATGTCAACAAACATGTGGACAAAGGTAATCGAGTGTACTCTGAATTTCAGAAAGCCTTTGACAAGGTCCCTTACCATAGAATCATAAACTAAGCAAATATGGGATAAGGAGGAAGGTCCTCTCTTGGATCAGTAACTGGTTAAAAGGAAAAACGGATAGAAATAAATGGTCCATTCCCACAATGAGAGAACAGAATAGTGGTGTCTCCATGGTATCTGTGTTGGGACCAGTGTTGTTCAACATATTAATAAATTATCTGAAAAATGGGGTAAACAGGGAGATGGCCAGGTTTCCAGATTATACAAATTTACTCAAAATAGTTAAGTCCAAAATAGATTTACAAAGTAATCTCACAAAACTGAGTACTGAGCAACAAAATGGCAGAGGCAAATTCACTTGATAAATGCAAAAGTGATGAATATTAGAAAATATAATCCCAACTATACATACTAAATAATGAGGTTTTAATTAACTGCTATCATTGAATAGAGATCTTAGAGTCACAGTAGATCGTTCCCTGAAAACATCTGCTCAATATGCAAAGGCAGTCAAAAAAGCTAACAGAATGATGGGAAACTTAAAGAAGGGATAATCAAGAATCATAGGCCTAAAAGGTGCTTTTTGAAGTCTTCTAGTCTAGTCCCTTGCTCTCAAGGAAGTGACTAAGTATTATCTAGACCAAGGAAGGCAATAAAACAGCAGCAGTTCACCAGTGTTAGACTTGGCAGGCCGCCACTGCTATACTTACCTACACCTATGCAGCATCAGGCAATTGCAGCTCCCATTGGTCAGGAACAGTGATCCACAGCCAATGGGAGCT